CCTAAGCCCGAAACCCTAAACCCCCTTTAAGCCCCGAGCAAGGGCGCCTTCTACGTCTTTACCTCCAACGTCGACGGCCACTCCTTCGACTACTTCGAGCCGGAGGAGGCTGGCGAGTCTGAGGGCCGCCTTCGAAGTGGAGCAAAAAAGGGTCCCTTCAAAAGGGGAGGCTAGGAGTTTTTTTTTTTTTTTGGGGGGNNAGGGTTTTTAAGGTTTTAGAGTTTAGGTCTAAGGGTTCTATCCCAGGTGAAGTGCTCGGAATCGCAATGGTGTAGTGACCAAGCAACACTAAGAAGACGACAAGAACGGTAGCTCCGTAGTAGAGTGGTACTCCCAATAGTTCCGAGAACGCACTCGTAGCCAGGATAACTGTCATAATCTTGAAGTTACGGTTTAGCCATGCTGATTCCAAATTGTAAATTGTAAACTGGAAACAGATCTCAAGCAACTCATCTCTGGATACATCCGTTCATTCCAAGCAGACGTTTCTAGTCAGACTCGAGAGAAGCGCTTGTTGCCACTCGCCTCTTGACGGCAATGCTGCGCATCAGATTGCTGTCAGGGGCAGACTTCGCGAGCATCCCTGTGGTGGAGCTAGCCGATGTGCGGGCGCTGAAGCAGCAGTTGAATCGGCTGCATGGCCTGCCAGCACGATTCAGACAACGACTGCTTCTTCGGGGTGTTCCCTTAGATGACTCTGCCAAAGTGGATTCGCCCATGGACCTGGATCTGATCCTACTTACACATTCCGACTCCTCCCCGGCGCAAGCAGACGAGCTGGCGACGGCCGCGGCGACAGGATCCACGTCTCAGGCGGTATGTTGCCCCAAGCCGATGCTTGCCAATTAAGCCCCGAAGCAGCCTAAGACCCGTGCTAGGTGACGCTGTGAGTCTGAGTTGTGTTGCAGGTGGAGGCCATGCTGCAGCACCCCCAGAACCCGAATGCAGTGGATGGGCAAGGGAGAAGCGCGCTGACGGCGGCTTCTGAGGAAGGCCACGTGGAAGTTCTGCGTCTTCTGCTGGAGGCCGAGGCTGATGTGAACATTCGTGGCAACGAGGGCGAAACTGCGATGATGAAAGCTGCGTTCGGAGGCCGCATCGAGTTTCTGAGAGAGCTTCTAGATGCCGGTGGCGATACGAATCTACGTGATACCCAGGGAGACACTGCCCTAATGGCAGCTGCCTGCGGAGGCCATGTTGAGGCCATCCGCTTGCTGCTGGATTGCGCTGCTGACCCACACGTGCGCGACAATGACGGCAGCACTGCCCTGATGCAAGCATCAGCTGAAGGCCATGCTGAGGTTGGTCGTTTGCTTTTGGAAGCAGGTGCAGACAAGAACCGAAGCGACACGGACGGCTCCTCTGCCATAATCTTCGCTGCTGAAAACGGGCAGTTGGAAATGCTACAATTGCTGCTGGATGCCGGTGCCGACAAGAACGGCGGTGACAATGACGGTTTCAATGCCCTGATGTGTGCTTCTCAACGCGGCCATGCTGGAACCGTACGGGTTTTGATTGATGCCAGTGCCGACATAAACTTAAAAGGCAATGATGACACGACTGCCCTGATGCTAGCATCTCAAGAAGGCCATGCCGAAATCGCTCGTTTGCTGCTGGAGGCCGGTGCCGACAAGGACTTTGCCGCCAGCAATGGCGACACTGCCATGCTGCTAGCGTCTGCCAAAGGGCACGCAGACGTTGTGCAAGCGCTGCTGGATGTCGGTGCAGCCGTGGATGTGCCCGACGATGAAGGCCGCACTGCCCTGACGGCAGCTTGTGGGGAAGGACACCTGGAAGTTATCCGTTTGCTCTTGCATGCCCGTGCCGATGTCAGCTTAGCCCTCGATGACGGAGCCATTGCCTTGGTCATTGCTGCGGAAAATGGCCATGCTGAGCTGTTGCGATTGCTGCTGGAAGCCGGTGTCGACAAGAATGACGGCGCCACTGCCTTGGCCTTTGCAGCTGAACATGGCCGTGCTGAAATCATGCGATTGTTGCTGGATGCCGGTGCCGACCAGAACGCATACGACGCGCAGGGTGTCACTGGCCTGATGCTCGCTTCTCAAGCGGGCCACATAGACATTGTGCGCTTGCTCTTGAGTTCCGGTGCCGACCCGAACATAGCCAGCAATAACGGCATCACCGCCTTGATAGTCGCTTGCCTGAGAGGGCATACTGAAATTCCGCGGTTGCTTTTGGATGCCGGTGCCGACATGCATTTGGCCAGCCATGACAACACCACTGCCCTGATGGCGGCTACTTTGGCAGGCCAGTCTGAAGCCGTCCTTTTGCTACTGGAAAACAATGCAGACCAAAACATTCGTAACCGTGACGGTGTCAATGCACTGATGCTCGCTTCTCAAGCGGGCCACATAGACATTGTGCGCTTGCTCTTGGGTTCCGGTGCCGACCCGAACATAGCCAGCAATAGCGGCATCACCGCCTTGATAGTCGCTTGCCTGAGAGGGCATACTGAAATTCCGCGGTTGCTTTTGGATGCCGGTGCCGACATGCATGTGGCCAGCAATGACAACAGCACTGCCCTGATGGCAGCTACTTTGGCAGGCCAGTCTGAAGCCTTGGGCTTGCTGTTGAATGATAACAATGACGGTGTCGGTGTCGATGCCTTCATGACCATGTCTCAGGCAGGCCACACCGAGCTCCTGCAGCTGCTATTGGGTTCCGGTGCTCAGGACAACAAGAAAAGGCATTGTTGCCTGGAGATGGGCAGCTCGAAAAGGCCACGTTGCAGCGGTTAAAGGCCGAAAATCCACAAGCGCTTATGCTCACAGTAGGCAGGATCGCGAGGCTGGGCTCGGATGCACAAAAGGGCTGTTTCCTGGATAGTTGCATAGCGTAACATCCCACTCGCAAGTCCGCGCTTATCAGCATACCTATTGCTCCTATTCTGAGTAGTCTTCTTCCTGTCCTTTCTCCGCGAGTACATGCCCAGGCTTCGCCTTAAAACCCTAAACCCTAAACTTAACCCCAAACCCTAAACCCCCTAAGCTTTCTCGCGCCAAGTGTCCTGCATTTGCCGAGGTGCGAGAGTGCCATGGCAACACCGAGGCAGGAGTTGAATGCTGGAGACTTTTGAAGGGCCTAAAAAGCCCAGAAGTGTTCTGTCGGGTTTAGGGTTCTAGGGTCTAAGGTGGGTGTTTTTCGGGGCTTTGATTCTGTTTTTTTTTTTGTGGGGCTTCACCAGGCCCCTCAAATTCGGGGGGGGCTGCGCGCGCAGGGAGGGCGTGGGCGTCTGGACTGGTACTCGGAAGGATTCTGGCAGGCCAACGTAGGATTCCAACATCAGCTGGGTTCGGGCTAGCGGAGCTATCTTGGTAGTTTGTTTGCCTTCGATGGCGACCCAAAACATCCAAGGTAAGCCACGCACTGGTCTTTCCCAAGCCCCACTTCAACCGAGCGTCGTGCACCGTAAAAATCACCGTGATGTAGGGGCCTACATACTTACCAATACTATTGTGGGTTTCCTTGTTATAAGTATAGTATATTGGACCCCAAAAACCCTATTCTAATTATTAAGGCCCCTGAACCCTGAGCCCTAACCCTAAACCCTCAACCCTAAGCCCTAAGCCCTAAACCCTAAGCCCTAAGCCCTAAACCCTACATAAACCCTAAGCAACCCCGGAGGCCCCTCCAAAATCAAACTCGGACCCCCGGCCGCCGCCCCCTTTTGCGTCTCGGGCTCCCAGCGCTGTCCTCGTGACATTACGCTTCCTCTTGTGGCTGTTAAACTCACAAGGAGCCTCCCGGCTATGTAGGGGGCGGCTTTGGGGTGTGTGGAGGGTTTAGGGTTTATAGGGTTTATAGGGTTTATAGGGTTTATAGGGTTTATAGGGTTTATAGGGTTTATAAGGTTTAGAGGGTTTAGAGGGTTTAGGGGGTTTAGGGGGTCTAGGGGGTTTAGAGGGTTTAGAGGGTTTATAGGGTTTGTATCGCTTATAGGGTTTATAGGGTTTGTAGTTTTTTTTTTAGGGTTTAGGGTTCAGGTTGGGGTCTGTTTTGGCCATGAGCCCCAGGGTAGAGGCTGAGGATTCTGTGGTTCAGGGCACATAGTTATGAGTGGGTTACGGGGTTCCTTCAAGGGTTCCGTTAGAGGGTTCTATAGGGTTTTATCGGGTTTATGATTTAGGGGTAGTTATAATGTTGGGTTATAAGCCCCTAAGATGGGTTATAACTTGTAACTATAGTTGCAATACTCATAACCCCACTTATAACTACCGATCAACCTCCAAGTCAGGCTTTAGGGTCGTTGCAGGGTTTTGGGGTTGTTGTACGGGGTTTTTTTACGCGGTACGGAGGGCTATGAAGTGTCACTGCAGCTTTACCCAAACCGCTTGAATCTGAGACCCTAAACCCTAAACCCTAAGTCCATTAGGCTGACAGTCTTGGGAGTTGAAGGTGGTGCAATCCCCCAAACCCCAAACGATGCAGCGTATGATTAGCTGGTCCGCCGTCGGACATGCCAAGATTGGGGAGCTGTAGCAACAGAGAGGCCGTCTTCGAACAACCTAGTCACCTAGTCGACATGTATTGGGGAAAGGGGCTTCGAAAGCCCTTTCGGCGAGCTTCTTTCTGCTTCGGTAACAGCCGCTAGGTGTTCAAGACGCTGCTGGGGGCTTTGGGGGGCGTTGCGTTCAGGGCTACCTAAACCCTAAACCCTAAACCCTAAAACCCCTAAGCCCTAAACCCTAAAACCCTTAAGCCCTAAACCCAAGAACCCTAAACCCTAAGCCCTAAACCCTCCTAAGCCCAGAGGCCTAGAGCCCTGAAGCACCGTAAGCCTGCGCTCGAGCAAGGCCCAAATACAGTGAGTAATGTGGGTAGTTCTCTAAAATAGCGCCCTTTTAGGGTCCTTTTGATAAGGGTGCCGGACTTTTTGAAGGCCCTAATGTGGGGAGCTACCTGCGCAGACCCCCGACTAATACACCCCTCTCCCTGAACAAGTCGTATCCTCATGGTCCTATTATTGAGGCCTTGGACGACTAGGCTTTGGGGTTTACATGAATGCAGGTCCTATGTGGGGCCACCAGATTTCATCGTTACGAGAGTTCGTTCCCTAAACCCTGGACCCTAAGCCCCAAGGCCTATTGAAGGATCCAGGTGCTTGGTGCTTAGGTGCACTCACAAACCCTACGTGCCACGTCCGTCAATAAAGTCAGGGACAGCACCGCATCTGAGACGCGCCACCCTGAAGAGCCCGAACTTCAAAAAGACCTAAAGCCCTAAACCCTAAACCCCTAAACCCCTAAACCCCTAAACCCTAAAAGAAGGGATGCCGAGGAGCTCCTCCACCTGCATTGCAGCACCTTAAATCAAACCCGGCGGGTTTAGGGGCCAGGGTTTTCGGCCAAGGGTTTAGGGGTATCCTAAAACTTAGGTCCCTTTATTTTCTGACACCCACCTAGAAGGTCCCGTGTCATCCTGATCCTTTAGCCCTCCACCCCCCCCAAACCTTCAGACCCTCAACCCCCAAACCTTCAGCCCTAAACCCTACATCGCAAACCTTCAACCCTAAACCCTAAACCCTAAACAACAACCCAAAACCCTAAACCCTAAACCTTCAATCCTAAGCCCTACACCCTCGGCCCTAAACCCCTAAAGCTCTCTAAAGCGCTCTGAGAGCTTGCCGAGGATCCATATAGAAGGTCTATATACGTATACTCCCCACCTGTAGTTTCCTTTAACTAAGCCCTAAACCCTAAAGCTCTAAAGCCCTCTTTTGGAGCCCTACCGAGGATCCATACTCTTTCAACCCTAGACCCTACACCCTAAGCCCTAAACCCTAAACCCTAAAA